GGGTTAACAATACTGTACATTTCTTAAATTGTACAAATGTACAGTGCAGACTTTCATACTAATGAGGAAATGTCATTTTTTGCTATATAAATAATTTTTGATGGGAAATTTATCACTTACCTAGCCTGTTGCCATAAAAAGTTGATACTGGGGATTTCCGCCATTTTAAAAAAGCAAGTACATGTGCTCTGATAGCCACATGACCACAAATAYGACATCARTAGAAAGMCCAGGATGTCCTCTTTACAGCACAGTGGGACTAACATAGATTGCAAGTGCAGTGTTTAAATTATAGGGCTGAATAGGRTGTCCCCCACAGAGGACAAAAATGAACTGATGGGTCTCAGGAGGGTATGAGCGTGAGCAAGGGTGAAGTGGGTGATCGGGACAATCGGGACGATTCCCGCTGGGCCGGACCATTAATGGGCTGGTCCGATGGGCGCAGTTAGTACGGGGATGATAGGACGAAAAAAATCTCCGATCAAAACTGATGATGAACTTGTGTTAGCTCGCTGACACTCCCACAGAGCTGGGGCCGCCCACTCCCACAGAGCTGGGGCCGCCCCCCCTCCCCCACTTCCTCCTTCTCTGTGACAGAGCCAAGCGGTGTCGCACAAGAGTTTGTTCTTCTATTCTCATGGGGACTTTGCATTGTCTTCCATTCATTTACCTGTCAATACTAAAGCCTAACCCACCAACTGTATTTTCCCCAACGGGACCGGGCTCACCCCCCACCCAAGGAACAGTGGGTCCTCACTACCAGTTTGTGTTTACAAGGAAAATGGTCCCCACCAGGCTGCAAAAACCTAGACACATGCACAGGTTTTAGTCTTGAAAATTGTTCACCTGGGGGGTCATCAGAGTACACTGCAAGGGGTCTGCCTGCATGATCCTCACTGTGACCAGGGTCCCTTAAATGTACAGTCATGCCTGAGTCCTCATTAGACTATAAAAACAAGAACACAAACATTCTCCTTTCTTGCAGAAGTAAATGGTTTCATTTTTAAGACCCAATGTAATTTTATTTAATCTCAATGGAATGTCCAGTTTGGCTCTAAACGCAGGCCTATTTGTTGCTGTTCCACTTTAATCTGGATTATAATGAGMGAAAACTTTGCACCGCATCATGGCTGCGCGCGCTCCTCTGTCCCATATTCTCGCACTGACCTACATCAAACCAACCCAAAAGAAACCTCTTCCYTCGCAGCTCGGCCTGCTCTGTTGAGCAGGAGGAATTCCATACCTCGCCTGCCAAGTTGGAGGGAACTTGCGTCATCGCTGCCAGGAGGGGAAAAAACGGGCTCGAGTCTCTCCGACGCTACTTGCTCCGTGGCGGCCGTCACGCAGGATGTGCAGAAGCAGCGAATGGCGCGCGCGCAAACATACAACATACACGCGCACCTCATACACCCACGCCCACCAAAATAAAAGCTCATCCCTCCGTGCCTCCTCCCTCCCTGAGCGCATCAGCTCTGGGCCGGCAGGTTAACGCAACAAAAACACGACGCGCAGGTTTTTTTTTTTTTTTTTTTTTCCAGCTGCAAACCGAGGCTTTGTTGCAAAAAAAAGCATCCCAACTACCAACCCCCTTACCGGGCCCTCCTGCATCGCGATGCAGTCTGCAGGTCCGGTGGTCGCATCATTCCGGCCGGCAGCCTCCGCAGCCATGGCAGCAGAGAGGAAGAGGAGGAGGAGGAGGAGGATGGACCGGTTGTGTGTCTGCAGCACAGAGCGCCGCTGAGAGGCGTCAAGCAGAGGCACCGCTGCGCTCTGGGCCTTTTATACAGACTCTKTTAATAAATAACATCCAAGGAGATTATTGACTGTTTTCACCTGGGAATTATTGCAGTGAAAGCACTGCTCCTATTTTGTTTTACCCTGATAGCAAAATATTTTATGTAGATAAAAAAAATCTAAACTACATAACCGAAGAACTCTAAACAAGCAAAGTTCAAGAATAAAAGCATCAGAAGAGTAAGAAGAAGAATCTTCAAACTAAAATCTGCACAACAGCAGCTAACAAGCCTAAAACAGTATTAAAACAGATGTTTGCAACACATAGTGACAAATCAGTTGCTAAAGAAAAAGCAAAGTGTAGCAAACCAGTGGATAAAAGCTGAAATTAGAATGCCTTTATTTATTATCACCATCAAAAA